AAATATTTTAGGTTTGAGGGGTCAACACAGGTTATTGGAAAATAGTTAATGATTTATTAAAAATTATATTGTGGCTGTGTATGTTTATGTGTGTCTTTTACTTCTTAATTTTGATGTATCTTGCGATGAATCTCATGATTCATAATTGATCAATTATGTCTGATCCCGACTACATTGTGTCGTAAAAACATAGCGAACAATACCCTTTAAGGTCTATCTCCATCTCTGAATTCCTAAAAGTCTGTATGAATGTAACAAAAAGATATTATTAATACACCATTTAATCTGTTACATCACGCAACGAGGAAATATTTGAATAAAGTCAATAAAATATCACAGAAATAAGTATCTCCTATCTTGCACTGGCTTCATACTAAATGAAACATTTTTGATCCCGCCTACATCGTGACGTCAATTGCATTAGGGCGGAACAATATGCGTTAGGTCTATCTCAATCTCTGAATCCTTGGAAGTCTGCACGAATTTAACAACTGAGATTATTATTGTCCCATATAATCTGTTACATCAAGCAACAAGGAAATACTTCAACAACGTTAATAAAATATTAAAGAACAGGGTCAACTTTAAAAATATTTCTATGAGCCGAGAAGAAAGATGGAAAGTTATCAAGTACTATTGTTACTTTTGCAAATGCCAATCATGAGAGGATGTGTGGACAATGGGTAAATTTTACCTTAATCATATAAAAAATTCATTTGACTCTCGTATTTATACAGATTTCATATATACAAAGTTACTTTCAGGCCACAGAAATGCTGTTCTAATTACATATTTACTGAAATGGGCTGCATTCGTACGTATTTGTTTTAGCTGATTTGAATTTTTGACTGCACAATAGATATTAAATTAATTAATTAAATTAATGTATGCTATGATCACATTATACACAAGCACATGCATCAGTATTCTGTACATCTCTTCTCTCCAAAAACATTTAGCCTGTGAGCCTGGTACATATGGAACAAACTGTTCAGAGGCGTGTCCTGATGGTCAATATGGAGTGAAATGTTTCTATGTGTGTAATTGTACAGAGGGAGAGATCTGTGATAAAAAGTTGGGGTGTGTGGAATCTGCAAATGCAACAAATGGTTCAACATATAACATTGGTGGGATAACAATATTGAACAACGAGTCTGAGGAGTCACTCCATACAACTGAGGCAAAATTTGATTCAACTGAAGGTAAAACTATAAAGTCTATTGAAGTGATGTTCAGCCTACTCTAATGTACATTATATATCGCTTATTAAAAATACCGTAGATTGGCAAATATTCACGATGGTTTTAATTTCGCTATGTTAGCGATCATTTTCCCGCGAAATTAAACCCATGGTGAATGTTATTATTAGTTGTTAAAAGCGTTTAAATGCTTATACGAAATTTGAATCAGTTTCTTAAAGCGTGAAATTAAAACCATCGCAATTGGTACTATTTGAGATATCGTGAAAATTTAACACCGCGGAATTAAAACGATTTACAGTACTTTGTTTCAAAGATACAGAAGCACACGTTATTCTGGATGGTGTCCAAAGCAGTGACGTCATTATCATTGGAAGCTCTCTTGTGTCCCTTTGCACCATTTTTGTTATCGGTTATTTTTTCTTTTCTAAAAGGTAAAGTTATTCTACAATATTATTACATCCCATACGATTTTTTTTCTCTCGATTAAACAGAAAGAGGTAGATTCATTTACTCCATAAAATGGTCCTGCCATTATACCAATTAACTGACCAGGTCCTTACGTCACATTTCGAACATAAACATAATGTGGAGACTTAGTGCTTGCATTTCCTATGGAAATACATTACCTCTGAGAGTCTAAGCTTTGATACTCAGGTTAAGTGAAACTACAATGTTCTTGAATTTTTAAGAAAATGAGTGAATGTGAGCATCTTCAACTATTGTTTAAAATAGGAGCCCATTCGCCCCGCGATCCCAAAATTTTTTTCATGTATTAGAATCTTCCAAAACAGTTCTTTTATTATATAGTTAAACATTTTAGGTCAGAGGGAGGGTGTTATGTAAAATAATCAAAATCGGCTTAAACGTTTTGCCATTTTAAAAGACATTTTCAAGATTTGAGGAAATTTGTGACGTCACAATACATGGATTAGAGAAATTAATACATCATTTTAATTTGATATGAAGCTACCAAGGGTGAAATTCAACATATTTTCAACTAAAAATGAGTAGTTCTGATTTTTCAGAAATTCACAGGGCCAAAAAGGCCAAAGGTGAACCTTGATCTTTCACTATATGACGTTGAACCCTTTACTGGGCAAAGTCACAGTGCAGAAAGAACAATGCATATTAGACAGTCTAGATTCTTCAATAAAAAAAAATAATCCCATAATATTATTGGAACAATCAAATTTTTTTGCAATTATTTCTTTGACAATTGATAAATATTAATTAATTAATTTCTAATTTGTTTAGGGCTTTAAAAAGAAAACGAAGAAGTGAGTAATATTTATGGAGTCTCTAAAATACAAATAGAATGAGGCATGAGCTTTGTACAAACTAGCTTTTGATGATAGATTTTCAAAATGAAATATATTTCAGAGAGGGGCAGACCTCTTCCAGTGTCTGATGTCAGAAACGCAGACTACCTCATGGGAGACGACTGTGTATATCATAAAATAGAATCTATATGTGTCGAGGAATCTCCCCTCCCTCTAGCCATCTCCGACCCACTCTACGGCCACAAAGATGATCCTGTTTATCATACCCTTTCTCTCAGACTAGATCTAAGGAATGAAACGTTTCTAGATCCGCCATGTATCTGTATTGGACCAAGGAAGCCCCACTCAGTATCCAATATTAATGTTCATAGCGCGTACGAAGAACCCTCTATTAGCCTAATGAAACGTTCTCATTCGGAGGGAGAGTCAGATTTCTCAATGAAAACGAATGATGAAGGAAGTACAGGTGAGAACATTGTAGATATTCCACAGAGGAAAAGATCTCAGAGTTGTGAAATAACGAGACATCTAAATCAAGATGGTCTCTTAATAAGTGAATGTGCCGTTCAAGATAGGAACAATACTATACCTAAATCGAGTAGGGAAATTGAAATAGCCCCAGCATACGGTGACGATCCTTATTTAGGCGAAAACGATAAAAGAATATTGAAGAGCAACTTTGACGAGCAGCAGTCTACATTAAAAATAAAAGCAGGGGATTCTGCTTTAGTTCATCAGATTGATCAAGTGGACATGCCTCCAGAGGATGCAGACCTAGGAAATTCCAGGGAGGATGAGGACAATAAAATACAAATTGCTGACGTCTGTGAACAAGAACAAACTAATGGAGACCGTTGTCTCTTTATAGATAAAGAACGGAACGGAAGCCAATTGTATGAAGATGCAGTGAGTTCTTATCCAAACAATTCACATATCGGCACAACACCGACTGATGGGGATTCCAGTACTGATATTATTGAAGAATAAAGATAGAGTTGTATGGGAGTTTCTGAGAGTGACAAAACGTAACATTATTTATAAGAATTAAAAATTTTAGTGGAGAGTGAAATTGGGCAAAAAGTTCAGGATTCTATTTAAATTGCTATTGTAAGAATATCTTATTGCATTCCTTTTAAAATGATTAAACTCAGTTTCAATATAATGTACCAAATAAAAGTTATAAGGATAATAAAATTTTAGTCTTGGTCTTAAATTCGTTTGGAAATTGGGCCCCGGAGTCCGATGATAACGTTTCTGACTTGGACAAGTGCTTATTATCATTATATATGGACTTACATCAAATATACAATAGCACAGGAATTGTTTTTAAAAAATATGAAAAACCATATGATAAAAAACATCATTTATGATAAGTTCTGTTAAAAAAAATTTCTATGAACATCTTAAATAGATTAAAATATTGAAAGGAAATATAAAATTTTAAATAGATATAATTTGAAATTTATCACTTGACACTTAGCATATAAGGATCATATTAGTATGTTATTTTGGGATCAACAAATGAATAGGCAATATAATCTATTTAAAAAAGACGATCCTTTTTACTAGGAAATAAATCTAAATAGACTTGGACGAGGTTGTGTAATTTTTTTGAACAAGCATAAAAATATTTATAACCAATGACAATTCATAAAGGAAATGAGAAACAATTTTTTTTTCCTCTGCGTACCCGGAAATTTATTTGACAATAGATGGTTTGACTTTAAAACTTAAACTAGGTCTCAAGAATGCATGAAGAAGGACCAATAAACCTATGACTTTGCTAATTGCTTAATAAAAAAGAAAAAACTGTGTATTTTTTCCACTCTGTCACGAGGACCGACCCTCTGATGAGAGAGAGTAAAAGTTCTCAATATTACAATTGTAGGTCGCCTTACTAGATTTTGATAATGTACATGCACAACTGAATAATCAATTTAATAAAATATATATCAAGGAAACATGACTTATGTTTCCTTTTGTCTATACATTTTTGATAACCTTTGGGAAAAAAATACATCCAGATTTTGAACTCTTACACGTTAAATAAGTAATATTGATTTATGGACCATAATAAAATGTTCAAACGTTATTTTTCGTTAGCATTACTTTTTGTCCCCCGCTTGAAAAGTGGGGGATATTAATTTGGGTCTGTCCGTCCGTCCGTCCGTCCGTCTTTCTGTCTGTCTGTAACGCTTTCGTTTCCACATATATGATATCTCGAGAACCCTTTGAGCTTTTGCAATGAAACTTTGCATAGCAACTCCCTATGGACTAAAGAAGACCCCTATTGATTTTGAGGTCAAAAGGTCAAAGGTCAAGGTCATAAATTCGCAAATTCTCTCTGTTATAACACTTTCGTTTCTGCGCGATATCTCAAGAACCCTTTGAGCTTTTGCAATGAAATTTTACATAACAACTCCCTGTGGCTTAAGGAAGACCCCTATTGATTTTGAGGTCAAAAGGTCAAAGTTCAAGGTCATAATTGTATACATTCTGTTTGTGTGTAACACTATCGTTTTCGGGCGATATTTCAAGAGGATGTTAGCTTTTGCAATGTAATTTTATACCAAAAGTCCTTAGGACCTCTCTCACCCTTCTCAAAGTGTCCCGCCCCGTTTGTTTTATTAGTATTGATTGGATTACATGTCGCTATTTTTAGCACAGGGGCATGAAGGAGAGTTGTTACGTATAAAACAGGTTCTCGGCGGACTTTATATTCTTATTACATCTATTAGAACTGTTTACTAAAGGTTAAATTAGACAACATGCATTATGTAAAATTTTGACAATATATCGAACGTGAATATATAAATGTATGTGACTTAAAGGGGGAGGAAATAAGCACCTCCTTCAAATTTACCTGGTTTTAGAACCTCTGTCAATCATCTGAAATTAAGCCTGGGATTGGATACTTTGATTTGATTGACATTTAGTTTGCTGCTGTTGTGTATATCTTGTGTACCTTGTCTGGAGATCGAACCGACCATCGAATTAACTTTCAGAATTTTGATGCCTACCGCACTGTATGCCAACGTGATAAAGAAGCAATCAAATCGTTCTTTTCTTTTTTAATTCATAAGAATATGCCATGAATATAATCAATCTATCAAATAATTAAATAAATGACAAGAAAATCATGGCTATATAATATATATTATAAAATTAATTTTAAAAGGGAGGATTTCGTATCACGATTACAATCGATAATTTTAATTTCCGTGTCAAAACATGAGTTAATGTACATTTATTCCTCCATTAATTAACAAAATAAACCGACCTGCGTTTGAAGCTAGTATCATGGAATTAAATAAAATTATTTTTTAAAACAAGTATGACAACATTGTAACATTGTTCATGAGTCAAGCGAATTTATATTTATAAGACAAACTTGCTGTACGTGTCACTTTTCTTCGAGACATAGTGACGAAGTTACGGTATAATAATAAGTTTTAGAAGAGAAATTACTCGGAATATAACATCTTGCTTTGGATTTTTAATGTTTGAAATTAATAATGAATTCCGAAAGAAAAAAAAGATGCAGATGATTCTTTTCCCGTTTCATAGCTGTCGGGGAATCAACCCCAACCATGCGTTATGGAAAAATCAAGTAGGGTTTATCTTAAAAAGATATTTATTTAGACAATAATATTTCTACTTACCATTTTATTCTCAAAACATCGATTCTAAGTTTCATTCTCATTTACGTAGAGACTGTTTTATGATTCACTTTCTTCTTTCGATTTGCGTAGACGACGTGTAATTTGAATTATTTACTTCCCTTTTTGTCGCCAGATTACAACGACAGATTTTGATGCTAAATGTATTTTCATTATTACACTTCATTAAGAAACATACTGTATGTAAAAAAAAAATGTCGAATTATTAAAAATATTAATTATTTTAAAAGAAAGAAATAGAGAAGGATTCTGTCTGCAACAAAAAATGCTTTATTTCGCATTTCAATTCATGAGCTAAACATGAAAAAAAAAACGGCCTCGGTTTACAAAGTCGTAGGAAAACACATACAGGTAATACACTCAGGGTCTCAGGTAACATCCTGTGTATATAGGTAGTATACACAAACCAGCGTCGTTCCCTCGGGGCTTCTCAGCCGCTTCGATTAAGCTCCACCCCACACCAAACTTACCTGAGGAAAACCGTACGGTTGAAAACCTCGGCCTTTAATGTTCGTATATAATTTTCCCCAGATAACGCGGCTCCGTGGTCTAGTGGTATGTCTCTCGCTTCACAAGTGAGAGGGCCAGGGATCGAATCCCTGATGATCCAATTTTTTTTTTCGAAATACATTCTTTTTACTAAATGATAGTATTCAGCATGTGAAATGAAAAATTTATGAGGTCTGGCTTGTACAAATACATAAAATCATCATTACAGTGTGATAAATATTCCATAGTAAAAGAATCATCTACACACATAAAAAAGAATAATCAATCAAACCTTTATATCCCTATTGGCATATTTTATTTGCTTCAGTATACATTTAATTATTCTACAAATTCAGTCATTACGAGGATCATATCAATTAAGAAATTAAAAAGAAAAAAAAAGGTTCCATGCTAAAATTGTTCAGGTACTTTAGTGTACATTCCAAGATGCTTTTCCAGATTGGACTTTTGGAATGAATCTGCCCCAAAAAAAGAAGATGGGTGAATAAGGCGGGCAGAATGCCTATAGTGCGACAGATAAGAAGTGAAAATTTTAATCTCAATTGAATCCAAATTTTACTGGATATTTCATCTAATATTAAAGTATACTTTGTGTTAAATCTCTACAATTTACAAAAATCTCACAAAGACTAGAAATATTTGCCTATGAAAAAGCTTTCACACACTAAAAAGAACAAAAACGATCATTTTCTCATACTTACACAAAATTTTTCAATATGGGTGGGTCTTCTCTCCATTTTTTTGAAAGATGATCCTAAAAGTTGGTAATAAAACACACATTTTTTGGTTTTCAAAAACATGGAGCGAAGACCCACTATACCTTAAAAGTACACTTTTATGACACAACATTAGCATCTTTCCGAAAAATACTTCAAGTCCATTAAGTCGCGGGTCATATCACAAACCTGATTTAAATGCCTAACATCTTCATGAGCGGT